TCATAGTTTCTACTAAAATAAACGAGGCTTTTCGGTGTTCTCAAAGCAGCATTGCAGGCTCGATCCCTGTGTTCACCCTTGTAACGTAGATGCAGTCCTCTGCTTGAATTGCAACAACCTTAATGAGTGAGCCAAGAAATTTAGCATGCTCCAGAAAATGGCTACAGGTTTTATTTGTTTTCTGTTCTGCTTTCTTGCACACGGGTGAACACAGCTTTGTGCCTGCCTCATGATTCAGTGTCTTAAAGGAGAACTCGGGCTAAAAATCCGACGGTCCAGGCTTGAACTGCATGGGTGGCACTTTGAAGCAAGGCTGTTGATTTCAAATGATTCAGAGTAGGTTTCAGGGCTTCCCCTATGTTATCATCCTGACTTGCCATAAGCCACTTGACACCAAAAAACTAACCCCTCCTTTCCCCCCCTCATCCAAAAAAGTCTTGGGCACAGATTGTTAGACTCTTCTACTTTGGATGATCTGTCTGTCGATCAACATTAGGTCTGTGGGTTTAGCAGTCTTAGTCCTGCTGATACGGTGACTCCTCCTTTTCTCTAGACCGTGTGCAGAGAGGTGGGGGAGTAGATGTCCTCCTCTGGGCCAGACTTTTGATGCTTCTGAAACACCGGTGTAGCTTTACCCCACAGAACAGGTCAAGTCTGCAGTATCAGGAATATTAGAAAATAGGTTTCCAAGCTACATGTGCTTTGTCCTTTATGGCTAATAAATCAGCCATAGTAATTACCCCTTTTTCCCCCTTCTCCAGCCGTGTGATCAAAAATTAAATTACCCCCCATACGTTTTAAACATAGTTCTTGCATCGAATAGATCTGACGCTTGTTGCTTATGAGCTGGTCGCAGGACTTGATGTGGGGAAGCCACATTTGTGTGATATTTTTGGCTCCTAGTAGCTGAGTATAGAGTTTCCATTCCAACAAATAGATTGCAGAGATGAACTTGAATGCACTGGTCTAGACTGCCTCTTTTACATACGCATTGTTATACCAGTGCCCAGACTACACGACTCCATTGTACTCCGGTGTAATAGCGAACCGTTGTAGTTTATTGCACAGCCGCAAGAACACGTGTATGGTCTTGTGTGAAATTTATAATGATGGAGTAATTGTCAATTGGGGCTTTTATAACACAACATTTTAAATTGTCTTTGGGCAGATACTGCTTTTGGGAACTGAAAATAGGGTTAGAATGGGCTCTCTGCTGAAGTTGTTGACCCTAGCAGCTGCTAGTACTCGCACCCTAATAATGCATAACAGAATCGGTGGAAGAGCAGGGTGGGAGGTGGGGGTTTGTGATGATTTATGATGTCTCTGGCCTCCATCTCTGCTATAAAATGTCTCCCTTTTAGTAGGAAGTCCCCAAATAGGTCCTGACACAGTAGTACGTAATGGTTGTCAGCTTGCCTGATTAAATGTGAGACCTCTGCAGAAGGTAGAGCAGTGGCACAATGCTAGAAGCCCTCGCCGAGACACGCAAATTCAAAAGGGGACACAGCTCATGGGGCAAGAGCTGCAAACCATTCTCACGCCACTGAAAGTGAGTGAATATATGCAGTCGTTCATAACTGTGATTTAACACGTTTCAGATAATTTGCGGTAGGTGATCTGCACCTCGGAATAAAACTTGTTTGGAAGGACTTGGCTGGGACGTAGCTAGATAGCTCAAGTGTCTAATGGCTAGTTCAATGTCAAGGCTAATTACTAGGAGACTTCTGAAACTTCAGTGCTCTTGGTTGTTATCCCGTAGTAGTTGGTGACTAACTCAACTACCACCAAGTTGATGTTTCCTCACCTCTGTAACGGGAGTGCAGGTTGTGGCTGTGTTGGTCCAAGGGCATAGGCAGACAAGGCTCTTTGGGTAAATCCGATATCTTTTATTAGGCCAACTCAAATAGTTAGAAAAAATCTTTGCAAGCTTTCACGTATCAGGCTAAGGAAGCGTCTGTAGTTTAAGAAAGCCACTTATGAAGCTAAGTAGTCCACCAGGAAGATGCTGCAAAGAAAGGGTTCCTCCTGGCTTTTACAGGGGGTTTAGAGGGTGAAATAACTTCAGCTCTAAAAATCGAAGAGCTTATGTTGGATGTGCAAAGCTAGGAGCCAAGCACCGACGTCAAGGAGGCTCTTGGGTCGTGGTACCTAAGTGCCTCAGGGGGAAAGACACACGGGGTGAAGACATGGGGGGCACCCTCTGGCCACCAAATTAGTGATTTTATTTCTTGACTCAGCGTGGCACCTGTGGAAAAGCCATCGGAAAAGCTGGGTCTCGGCTTGGAGTCTGCGGTAGAGTCTAACCGGTGGCCCGTCGCTTGGCCCGTCACTGTCGGGGTAATGCAGTCGCTCCATGACACGTTTGCCAACATCAGGAAATTTTAAAAGCAAGCACGTGGATCTGTTTGCAGTCGTACCTGTCTAAGAAAGGACCCTGACTCCTGAAATAGTGCCGAGCATGTTGTGGAAGGTGCTTTCCTGAGAGGCCAGTTACCAAGCTCTCGCTGCTGTCTTGAGACATTGCCGTTTCCAAGCCTAAATATAAGGGAGACTGATGAAACCATTTCATCTTTTGCTTCATTAATCTGCCTAGTAACAATATAATACTTGGTAGCTCAAAAGAAGCATTGTAATGCATTTGTAAGCAGCTGCTAGATTTTGGAGTTATTGTTTGTGCCATTAGCAAGGGGTTTAATAGCCTAATCCATCTGGAGAGCAAGTAGATTTATTAGACTGTACACTAAATGGGGTCATAATTACGGCAGCAATTTCCGCTAACTCTGTTTTTCCCAATATGACACACAAGCAGTACAGAATCTGAAGAAAATGAAATGACTTGTAACAAAAAATTATATTAAATTCTAATTTAGAAGAATGACAAAGGCACCTTATATTCGCGCTGTTGGTAACAGAGGGCCTCATTTTTCAAGTTAAGTACGTCTTTGCACCCTTAATGTGCAAATCCTGTTAGCACAACTACACGTACACGCTCAATTCTGGTTGGTTTTTGTGTAGCTCGGGTGAACATCTGCCTGTTTTAAAAACATAAGCTCATGTTTCTCACCTAAAACATTTCAAGGGCAGTATTGAACTTTGAAATATGGATTTTAAAGACGGTGCGAAGTAGAGAACATGGGAGTTCGCAGAGCATGTGAAGACGATGAGAAGCGAGAGAGAGGGATGTTTCGGGACCCGTGTTTAAAAATCAGTGCTGTTCCCTCTAATGGCACTTCCTCGCATAACGAAGATGCACCGTCTCAGGGCCACGCATTTCTCACGGGACACTTTCGAAGCGCAGAGTTGGTTTCCATTGCAAGAGAGACTCGGTAACATAGTCATTTATCACATGTAAAAGAAGAGTTTATTTAGGGAAAAGCTTTGTGCTGGAGCAATGGCTTTCAACCTTTTTTCTCTTGCAGACCCCTAAAAATTTTTGAATAGAAGTGCAGATCCCTTTGAATTGTAATTGTGGGCAGATCCCGGGGGTTCGTGGATCACAAGTGGAAAACCACCATGCTAGAGTCTCTAACATGCTGATGGGAGTTTAAGGTATCAAGGTTGTAGCCATATTAGTTTAGAGGAAAAACTTTTCCAAACAGGAGTTTTTACCACCTTTGGATCTCCTATGAAATATGAACTTTCATTTCTACCCAGGAGAACTTTTCTCTGATGCCTGATGAAGGGTGTTTGTGCCCAAAAGCTTGCAATTAAATAATTTTTTTTGCAGAAGTGTAGTTAGTTTAATAAGAGATCACCTCTATCATGGGTCTGGGATGGAAGTTGAAGACTTTATGTAGAGTTACTTTGTGGTGCAAGGAATTCAGATTGGTTTTTAGTTGCATTTATGAAGACATGAACACTAAGGCAGTCTTTTGTAAGACCTAGAACATCTACTCCCTTTCTTCCTTAATGATCTGCCTAATAGATTAATGGAGTAAGGGGGGGTAGGGATTGATTCATTCCCCTGTATCAAGGCAGGATTGATTTCATGATTTATAAAATGGTTCTGATCATCTTGATGGAGACATGCGTACATGCTGTACATCAGTGTTCTTGTTTTTTTAGTGAAAATCTGTCTGCATAGTTCAGAAATATTGTGGGTTGGGAAGGCAGTTGGCATGGATTTCCTTAATTGTCTGGATTTATGTTCACAAAGCCATATTTTTCTCTGGAAACCCAAGATAGCTTGCTCTTGAGAGGGAGAGAGGGTCTCTGGGGAATAGAGTGAAGATGCTTTTTTCCCAGGTGGTAAAAAGCTTGAGGTGCATCACCGTGTCTGTATGTAGGCAGGAGCAAAGTCAATTTGCAAGTGGTACTAACTGTGCCATGCGGGGGGGGACTTAGTAAATCGATGCAAATACTGAGTGGCTGGCATCGAAACTAGATACAAAATCCACTAGGTTTTAATTAGAGTAATGATTACAAATAAACGGATGTAAAATGTATACAGTAGGTTAAAACAACCCTGGTGCAGCAATGTAATGGTAAATACTTCTGTTCTAAAGATAAGCAGGAGCTGGAATTCGATAACAGAGGGAATTATATTAGGCTTTCGTCACGTTGGAGAAATGTAGGGTATATTACTGGACACTTTGTCATTTTACTTTACAATCTAGATCTTTCCTTTCAAATGATACACAGATGGAATATTGCTAACAGCCGTAATTAAATAGTAAATCTATCTTAAGGAGTCAGCCAACGTAGAGAGTAGTAATCTAGATTCAATTATGTTAGGACTATTCATTTGTATTTTTACAGTATGATAATTTCTCAGCACAAAGGAAAACCCAGTTGTACTTTCCAAATGTCTATGCTGGTTGTATTTAGTCGAAATGTATTGAAAATGCTAACAGTGTGTAGATGAGCTATTGTACTCCAGCCAATTTTTGAGATTAACATTCAAATAAATCCCACTCAGTACTGTGGCATTTCGGTGCCTCTTCCAGTGTGTATAACTGCTTCAAAATACTCGAGCCCATCTTTTTTCATGTGTTTTCTAGCCCTGGCTCTTTCAAAACTGAAGTTCTGGATTGAACCATTTGCTGTTGCGAGGACAAATGTGCTGCAAGGTAGGATGGAGCAAATGTACCCAAGGAGACGGATCGGGTTTAAAAAAAAAAAATCTTTAATTTGCTTTTGAAGGGCTGATTGAATTCATGTGACAGTTGCTGAACTTCTGTCAGCAAGATTTAATAAATGCTGAAATATCTATTTTAAGGCTTATGTGAGTTGCAGGAAGAAAGGTGGCATTTATTAAATCCTTTTCCTAATGAGGAGAGTGATCACAATTGATAGAGAAACTGAACTGTTTAAATACCGAATGCGACTGTCTGGAATATATAATATCTCGCTGTGTGTCATACGTAAAAACGAAAAGGCGCTGGAACACATTATCTGCTTCTGAATCTTTTTGTGCATAAATAATTTACCTGTGATTTTTTTTTTTTTTTCCTCCATTATTTTGATCAGTAGATGTTTAAGTTCTTGTCTGCTACAGCTTTATTTGGCTACCGAATTGTGGTTGGAGTGTGTGTTATCTTCTTCCATCAAATATAACATATCTCAGACGGGCAGTTGCTATTCAGGTTTTTTCTTTACTAAATAGCTTAGCCTGACATTGAAGCTTCAAAGTAAATAGGTAGCTTATCACTACTCGGCAGAAATCCCCCGTCTTCAGTGAAAATACTTTCTTCCTACATAGCAAGCACAAAGCTGTTGCACTAACCTAGTCTGAGATGTTTAAAATTTCTATGGGCATCTATTATTTTTTCACTGTTTAAACATTTATTTTTAAACTGTGTCACCAACTGATTTAAGCCTGTTTGAGAGAGGTAGTTTGTGTAAGCTCGCTCTCTCTTTTTTTTTTTTTTTATTAAAGAGAAAACATATTTTTTTAACTGTTTGAAGAAAGAAACATTTGCTGTATTTGAATATAGTTTTACAGTTCTTAGCTGCTTACCCAATAACTTAGCATGCTGCTAAACAAGGGTAAGTGACTTTTAGGGTAAAACCGGTGGTAGGGGGTGTAGCCGTGGCTATACTATGGTTACTACCATTGCAGCTGAGGGGTGTTGGAGCTAGTTATATTTTCCCCTAAATCTTATACCAACAGCCTATAAGATCTTTAAGAATCGGCTAGATTACATTAAATTACCTCTAGATCATCCAGCTGGCACTGGAATATCTACAGAAGTAATACGTCCCACGTCAGGGAGAAAGTTAATGGTCTATTTGCAAAGCATCTTGAGAACATCGGGTGACGTGTACCATAGCTGTGCAAAGTGTTATTATGGCAGGTGTTTGCCAAGTGCAGTCGCCGTTTTTAATCTCAGAAGAAACATTTATATTTTGGTTGCAAGTCTCTTGAGAAACCGGGTGAGCAGCAGGAGTGCTTGCCGCCCGCTTTAATCCCTCGAGCTAAAATTTTAATTCCTGATGCAGCTCTGTGCCGTGGGAACAGAGCACTGTTGTAAGGGCTGGGAGTCCTGGAAGAAGTTGGCCTGCATGGTTGCGACTCGCTTGTTCGAGGACTTTTGTGCGCGTGCAAATGGATTTCGATCCAGCCTTCGCATCACTGATGTCTCCTCCATTAGAAAGCCAGCCTGCACAACACCTGACACCTGCAACCCGCTGGCGGGAGACGATACAGGTTTCACTTGTGGGACTCTTGTGTTGGAAGAAAGGGCAGGAACATTATAATGCTGTTGGTAATGGTAAGATAAACTTCTGGTTTCTGAAACACGGTAGTGGGTAGTAGGGGTTAAATAAGGGGGTTTCTGCAAAGTGGAGGTCCCAGGGAGCTTGGTTAAGAGCCGTTTGCACAAACTCTGAACTTTCTGGGGCAAAACTAGGAAAGGCGGTGGTTGAAATCTTAGGGTAATTTATAGTTGGGGTACCCATGCGCCCGCCCCCCCTTCCCAGGGTCAGTGGTCACTGTTGTCTCCTAACCAGCTAACAAGACTGCCAACTAACTCCCCCCACACCCCACACTTTTATACACCTTCAACCAACCACTCTGCACTCTAATGATGGGCCAGCAGCGTACAATTAAATATCACCTTGGGTAGCAGAGGCAATTGAAGCATCCCATACATCCCTTTTGCACGTTAAAGTTCAAAGTGCAGAAGCCATCACCATTGCCATTAGGGGTTGCGGGAACGTGTGTGAACTCCAGGCGTTGAGTTCGCTCCAGATGTTGCGAACGCTGGTGCCAGATGTTAGGACATGCTTGCGACAGGGTAACCTGGAGATCGTGTAGCTATATAAAGTTGTCAGCTGTGTAAATACCCGGGGGGGTTTCCCCCCCCGCGGAGTAACCACAAAAAGACCTGCTACAATAGCTCGTAAAACCAGCACTTTCAGAGGGCCGCTCATCGAGCATGAGATCTTCACAAGCATCTCCCTAGAACTCAAAAAGGATGTTGGCTAAGTATTAAAGGAAAAAAAAAGTTGCGGATCCTTTGATTCATCATCTGTTTAATCAAATGGGTTTCTTATGTTATATACCTTCCTGTCCGGACAGCAGACTGCTCACTACAGCTGCCGCCTGCGAAGGAGAGCAGCGCCATCGTCATGGTTTCTGCACTTCGAAGCATAACGTGCAAAAGGAATACGTGGGATGCTGCGATGGCCCATCCAGTTCAATGTGCTCTTTAATCGTCCAGGCAGCATCCTGCGAAGGAGACCAGCGCAAGTCCTAACGCTGTCTTGTATCCATCCGTGAAGCCTTCCCCCTCAGGTCTGCATCTCTCCCGAGTCGGAAGTCTTCATGTTCAATAAAGTAAGAGGTTTATAACTCTGCATCCTTAATGGCAAATGTGACTGGGAACAGCTCGGGAGGTGAAGTTGGCAGAATTACATTAGCACTTCAGACTCGTGAATACAGCAGCTTTGGGGTCGGGTGGGGGGAAAGAGGCTGAAATTGCCCTTCTTAGCATATATCGAGGCACACTGAATCTAGGAGGTAATAATCAGGTTGTGTGTGGTGAAGGAGTCCAGAATTGCAGACTCAGGTGTTTGGTCAGCAAATTTCAGGACTTTTTGCTGAATTTCCCTGATACTGGAATTTCTTGCGGGGAGTGGAGGGTTGACAGCGTCTTTGGAGAGCTTTTCTGTGGAGCTGAATGGTGTGGGCCTTTCTGGTTTTTTACTAAATCAGCATGCAGGTATTATTCTTCAGTTTATTTGTTTCCAGGACCATTTCTGCAAACTGATTTCAGTGTTCTTGCCCTGCTTACAAAATACTCTACGGTGAATATATAGTGAAGGACAATAGAGGACATCTTATTAATTTCTTTTATTGCTGAGAAGCCACATCTGTTTTCTCCCAGAACTTCTCAAAAGGCATCAAACAGCCTCTCCGTACCACTTAACAGGAGGTGGCAGCGTAGCTGTTGGGGGAAAAATGGTACGTTTGATGTGTAAAGGAGGGAAGCAGAGGGACAGGTAACGGCAGTGAATTAAACTTCGTTAAATGTAGGCAATTGATAAGCGAAGTAAACTGGAATCAATGAAATCTCGGTGGCCAAAAGGATTCAAGAAAGAGGTCATTATTTAATGAGAAACAACAAAAGTGCAGGTCTGAAGATGGGCGTAAAGTTGTTGCTAGCTGGAGAAGATAAAACCTGCTGGGCAGATTTTAAAAGGTGGAAACAATCAGTAAATCGGTTCTGCATTCAGAATTGATGTATCCGTCCCGTGTGATCTGGTGCATGGCATAGAAAGAGGCCGTGAGGCAGTGTCTGCTAAAAACGAGGCCGGTTTGATTTGCAAATGTTTACCTTGCATCCAAGAGTCAGGTAATTAGCTGAGGAGCGCTCTGAGCCACGGATGTTCATTTTTAAATAAACCTTGGAAAAACGGGGAAGGACTAAACCAACGGTGAAGGGGCTGCTAGTGTAATTCCAGTATTTAAGAGCAGTAAAAGAGATGGTGCGGGGAATGATGGGCTGTTTTGCCCAGGTTGACATCCAGCTGAGCAATGGAATGATTAATTCAGATCTCTGATCAAAGAAGAATTAGAAGCTTAAAAATTGTCAGTCAGCATGGCTTCGTGGAAAGTAGGTCTTGTCAAGCAAACCTGTTATCATTTTTTTTTTTGACAAGATTACAAGTCTGCTTGATAACAGCAGCTGTGCTGATATAGCACTCTTGGATTTCTCCAAGGCATTTGACTTAGCACTACATGACATCTTGATTAACAAACTCGCATTATATGGAATTAGCAGGGCACACATTAGATGGATTAGAAATGGTCTCGGTGACAGACCTCGAAGTAGTTGCTAATGCCGAGACACCAGTGAGCAGGAACGTTACTCTAGATGCCCCGATGGGACTCGTTGTCGGTCCAGCATGACTCAAGATTTGTATCCCTTCTCTAACGTCTTTAGGAAAGTTTGCAGATGACAAATAACTGGTCGGAGTCGTCAGTGAGGACAGGTGACGGCTACTGATAGGACTCACCTGGTTGAATGGGCAGAGCTCAGCAACAACAAAAAAAGGCCTTTTGGATAGGATGGGAGATGCATCTAAAAATACAAAATTATAAAATGTGTGGGGTTTTTTTTTTGTTAACGCAGCCAAATGCAAGTTCAGATGTGCAGGAGGAAAGACTGGAGGGTATGCTCATAGCGGGGAGAGTGGGAAGCGGTGACTCGGGAGAGGATTTGGGTGAGCTGTCAGTGGCTAAACGAGCAAAATATGGTCCTTGTGTGTTTTAGAAGGGCCTGTGAAGTAGACTGGATAAGTGCTCTGGTTTCTTCATAAAGCACTGGTGAGGTTGCAATTAGCTCGGCCTCCTCTGATTAAACTGAAGGGAACCGAATCATTTGTGTGACTTCTTTGAACTCTCCAGTATTTCCACATGCCTCTTGAAATGGGGCCCCCGAAACTGGACACGGGATCCTAACAGCATATAGCTACATCCACACGGAAGAGAGATGTAATGGTGAGGGGCTTTTCAGTCTCATGGATCCAGGCATAGTGATTCAGTGGCTGGATGTTGAAGTGAGAAAATCCAGCCTTTCCTATCGATGCGGTTGATTCAATGTTTGGATGGTTTACTTGGGGAGACGGACTCCTCCAGTGGGTCTCAACCTTGCTAGACTTAAGCCATCGCTCATCAGACTCAAGGTGTCCCTCCATGACCCTTGTGAATTGAGCAGTGCCCTGTTTCAAAAACCTAATTTATTGTAGCTTATTGTTATTTAGGTTGGGTATTGGGGAAAATAATTTTCACTAGGAGGGTAATAAAGCAGTGGGACAGGTTACCCAGCGAGGTGGTGGGGTCTCCATCCTTGGAGGTTTTGAAGACCCAGCTAGACAAAGCCTTGTCTGGGATGATGTAGCTGGGGCTGGTCCTGCTTGGAGCAGGGGGTTGGACGAGATGTGACCTCCTGAGGTCCCTTCCAGCCTCATTTTCTAGTGCTGTGTAGTGCTCACCTCCTTGCTGTGGGGGTTGTGGAGCAGCCAGGTTAGGGGAGTCTGAATTTGCCCTTACTTGCTTATCCCCTTAGACATCCTGTGGCACCCTTTAAAAGATCTCATGGCACCCCAGTGTGCCCCAGCACCCCTATTTAAAAATCAGTGGACTCATCATTGCCATTGGTTCTTTAAAGCAAGATGAGCTATCTTTCTTAAAGGCACTGCTTTTTAACTTGGCTTCTAGGGAAAATTGGACTGGCTTTTTTCCCGCAGGTCAGATTATGTGCTCGTCGTGTTCTCTTCCACCCCGAGCATCATTTTCTGAAAAACTCCTGGAGGAAAAATCTTGGCAACAAGTAGGCCAGACCTGAAACGATAACAAAAGCCCTTTCTGTCATTTTTCTTCCTTATCTGGCGTTTTTTAGAGGAGAACTTGTCATGTGTGCATTTTTGCTGTTAGTGAAAAGGAATAACCTGAGCCTTGGATCTTTATCGCAGGTGGAGCACTGGATTATCCCATAGGCTTATAATGGACTAATCTTTGTGCACATCCTGCTGGCCTTACTCATGTGAGTAGCCTGATTTGGGTGCAGCTGAGCTGTTGGCTAAATTTAAATAAGGCAAGGCAACCGTATCTAGAACTCCTCGGCACTAACCTCTTCCTCTAAAGGTAGTGTCGGCACTAGGAGCACCTAACCAAAGCTGCCCCAAGGTGCACACGATTTATGCAGTTTTACCGATAATCTTTATTCCACGCAATCTCCAACCAAAGCTAGAGCGTGAGAGTGTGCAGCATTGCTGATATACCAGCACCCAGGCCGTGCAAAGGCCTTCCTCCAGCACTGGCAGACAAGGTTCTTTGGGTGGATGGGATCTCTTTTATGAGACCAAGTAAATCATTGGGAAAATTTGTTCTTCGCAAGCTTTCGGGCGCAAGCTTGCAAAGAACAACTTTCCCAATGATTTACGTGGTCTCATAGAAGATACCTGCATCTACCCAAAGAACGTCGTCTACCGAAGTCCTTAGACCAACACAGCTATACAACGCCCCTTTCTCCAGCACGGTTGTATCAGCCAGGATCGTGTCCTTGTTCAGAGCCCTGACAGCACAGTGATGCCGCAAGAAGTCTGCGGTGAAGCTGCAGCCTAATTTTCTCCTTTTCCCAACTACATCCTGTCAGCCGTTGGAACAAAGACAACCTCTGTCAAAGGCTCACGTCGGCAGGAACCCGTCTGTATTCTGGGAGACAGAGCTGATGGGTTTAATGCAAGGCGAGAGCTCGACAGGGTGTGTTAAAACTCTTTGCCGGGAGGTGAGGAGAGATGCTCCCATTAACAGCGTGGGGTGCGCGTGCCCCGTTGGAAGGGGAGCAGAAAGTTGGTGGGCAGTTCTCGGCCAAATCCTTCATTCTGATGAAGCCTCGGCTTCTAACAGTTTTCCTGATTCCCTTCCCTCCCGTCTGCCGTTCGTTTAAATGTTTCACTAGACTTGAAATTGCCTTTGCAGAGTTGTCTGGGAAGCCAGCGTGCAGCCTCCGCTCTGAAATATTGGGTCAGCCTGTTCAGAAACAGTCAGATTTATTTTTATTTTTTCCCCTCTCTCTGCTGCTCATTCTTCCAGAGGATTAGTCGGTGCGCTCCGGCTGCCAGCGCTCTGACGGTACCTGCCCCTGGGGGTCATAGCAGGTTTTCTCAAATTTATAAGCTACGGTAAGCAGGTGAAGCCGTGTTGTTTTTTCCCTCTCGCTACTCGCATCCGGGCCCATCATAAATCTGAAATATTGATTCACGTGGGTCGTGCTCTTCTGCGAGTGCCCGTATTTCTTCCCAGGAACCTGTCTCTAAGGCCTTCCCTGAAAGACTGCTGTGTAAAGCAGGGCTATCCAACTTCTGGGCAGCAGGGCAATGTGGCTCCCTTCTTTTCCAAGCACGCGGCGCGCTCACCTCGGCCACGTGCATGGCATTTGGCCCCCTCCCACTATGTCACCCCACCCCCTTTTCCCCAGGATCGGGGCAGAAACTAGAAGCTGGAGGAAAGAAGGGGACCCTGCCAGTGTCAGTGCAAGAGCAATGGCTGGTGGCTGGACAGGAGCCCACGGGCCACGGTTAGACAGCCCTGCTGTAAAGGATCTCTCGTCACCCGGGTGGTACGGGATTTGTGTCTCTGAAGCTCTGGGAAACATTTGCACGTGCAGGCTCTCGTTATTTCTCTCTGTTCTCGGGGCCCCTTGCTGGGAAACACCCTTCTTCCTTCCAGTCTGCATCCCGACGCTCAATCGTGTGGAAGTCGTGCCACGTAGAGGTACGGAGCATGACCCTTGCAGCTTTGCTGGCGCCTCTCCTGAGATCAGAGGCAAA